CTCCCAGGCTCAGGTGATCCTTTGCTGGGTATCTTGTCATAGAGAAGCAGTATTTTTTTTTTTTTTAAACCTCACCACTGTTATCTTTTGTACTTCAGAAGCAAACTAAGAAAGAAATACGTGTCTGAAAAATGTTAATAAAAATGAATTAGGATGAACTAAAATAGCTCAGAAGAGTTGAGAGATGTATGTTATAGCACAGGCAATATTGTCATAAGAGTTATCTATATAAGAATCTGCTTTTTAACAGGACTTGCAGGCAGCTCCTGTGCACCTGGGAGTTTGAAAAGCTCTGCTCTAGTGGACAATTGATACTCCCTGAGTCACCATGAGTGACTGATCTGTTGGTAGCTCCGTTCAAGAGAAGCTAAACAAATATGGCATATCAGCCATAAGAGTCAAATGTTGAGAATCACAGTTTAATTTTGTTTGCAGCTACACACCAGGCCAAGTCATCATGTTTGACTAAACAGCAATGTTCTGATTAGGGGAGGACGTGGCTTTGTCTCCCAAACAGATGAGAGTCTTGGTGGCTTGATGACAGCATGAAGAGCTGCTCCCCTGCCCTGGAGTAGGATGGTTTCCATGACGACAGTTCTGCACACTGAGCTTCCCCCCCCCCCTTTTTTTTAAGTCCCGTGTTAATCAACAATGCAGAGACTAAAAAGGGTACTTTATTTCGTTTTTAAAGAATTTCACCATATCTAAATTTTACTTGACATTATATTATCATCATGTGTGTCTCCGAGAGAAGGTCTTTGTGCAGCAAAGTGTGGTTTTGTGAGTGATGGGCCAGACATTTCTTCACTGATCTCAAATTGGCGCAGCTGAAAGATTTCAGGCTTAGCCCATACTGACCTAAGCTTGGTTTTAAGAATACAGTACTTCTGTTTGGTGTTTGTCCTGCTGTATATCAGTAGATCTTCAAGTGGAAAACCTTTTGTTACATAGAGTTGTTAACTACCATGGTCATGGGTATAGAATGATCTTTCTGCTCACCTAGGGGTGAAGTCTCTTCTTTTCACAGTAGATTTAAAATGCTAATATATGGTGGTGACCAGGATAAGAAGCACTTGTATGTTAAGTTCCTTTATAATGTGATGCAAAGGTTTGATTTGCTTGACCTTTTGCACTCTCTATAAAGATCATCTATTACTTTTTTTTTTTTTTTTTTTTTTGAGACAGGGTCTCGCTCTGTTGCCCAGGCTGGAGTGCAGTGGCGCAATCTCAGCTCATTGCAGCCTCTGCCTCCTGCGTTCAAGCAATTCTCCCACCTCAGCCTCCTGAGCAGCTGGGATTACAAGGGTACACCACCACGTCTGGCTAATTTTTGCATTTTTAGTAGAAACAGAGTTTCAGCATGTTGGCCAGGCTGGTCTTGAGTTCCTGACCTCAGGTGATCCACCTGCCTCAGCCTCCCAAAGTCCTGGGATTACAGGCGTGAGCCAACATGCCCAGCCTGATCATCTATTACTTCTGTAGCAGATTAAAACCCACTAAATTTTCTTTTCTAAGAGTACTAATTAAAACAAAAAGCATGGTTAGTGAGAAGAGCATTAAGATCACTAAGATCAGCCCTTAGGGAAGTGAGAGTTAGCTCCAGGGCCTTTGCTTCAAGCTCTGCGAAGACCCCAACAACTCTGTTTCAGCACCTGTGCTGGTGCACCTAGTCCAAGCCCTTGTCCTCTCCTAGCTGCATTGTCCCAGTAGCCTGGTCACTGGCCTAGCTGCCTCCTTGCCTTCTTTTCAGTTTATTCTCAACACAGCCAGATCATGTCCCTGCCCCTCTCCAGCATTCCATGGGGCAGGGTGCTACATGCATCACCTCAGTTGAATTCCGTGGCTCTCAGAATCAAAGCCAACAGTCTTTAGTGCTGGACTATGAAACTCCTTGCTCACATCTATGATCTCACCTCCTATTACTGTTCCCTCATATGCCCCAAGACAGGTCGTGCTTCAGCCTCAGGCCCTTTGCACTTGCTGGTCCCTCTGTCTGGAACTGCCCTTCCCAAGATGTCTGCATGGTTCTCTTCTCCACATTCTTCAGATCTTTGCTCATATGGCAGTTTCTCAGGAAGACTTTCCTTGAACGCCCTATTTAAATGTTGACTCCCACCCCCTACCCCCAACACACACACATTCTCTGTCACCCTCTCTTGCTTTGCTTTTCTTCATACCACGTATTGTCATCTGATGGGTTTTATCTTTTACTTTAGTATTTATTGTCAGTCTCCTTCCAGAATGTTAACTTCTTGAAAAGGCCTTTTGTTTTGTTCAGTGCCTATCCACACCACCTGGAATGAGGCGCACACTATTTGCAGTGCACACTATTTTGAAAGGATGAATGAAATTGACCCTCTTTAACCCCATAATTAGATATGAATTTAGAGCCAAATGTATTATGAGGTTTCTTCCCACCAGTTTTGTTCTGTCACATAAGAAGATTGAAATGTTAGAACATCGTATAAAAATTAACCACAGCTGTGAGCCACTTAAAACACTCTGCAGCGAGTTAGGAAATGCCCATTAATTGTTGGTTTGTTAGGCAAATGGGAGAGCACCACACTCAGTGCACGCTGGGTCTCCTGTGTGCCAAGCATGCGGGGCAGGCCCTGGCGATGGGAGGGGCAGGGAGTGGGGCCTCCTCCTAGGATGTCACACTGCCTTGCTGTTGGCTCCCTGGTTGTGGTGGCATCCCGCAGCAAACCCAGGATCTCACGCACCTTCCTCTGAGAGCCACTGCTTTGGTCTGTGTGTGTATGTGTATCCACTCGCCAGGGTTGTTTCACCAAGGACTTCCTTTGGCTGAAATTTGTTTTCCTTTTTGTTTATAGTGTTTCTTAGTAACCCACTGCTGTGAGTCCTCTCTGCTGGGTTGCTACCCAAATGTGTCTTGAACTTTGTGCTATTTCTTTTTTAAGATCTGAAGATTTATTTTGGCCATGGAAGTGTAGGACACGAAAATTTACAGAAGTGAATGTAGACAATGCCCATCTAATTATTGGTGACCCAGTGGTGGGGGCGCACAATGTGGGGGATGGAGCCCCTTCAGCAGAGCCCTGTGTCCCTGTTTTTGGAATCTATTTGGCCATAGATTCTGAAAGCCCGAAGCCACCATTCATTCAAGAACATATCTGTTGAGTAGTCACTGCCAGGGAACACACTAATAAAATGAGCTCAGTGTCCACCCTCATGGAGCTTCTTATAGTCTAGTGAGAGAGAGGGATCTAAATTAAATAAATGCGTAATGCGTAGTTACGTGTAGTTACAAACTGTCCAAGTGCTCTGGTGGAGAAGGTCAAGGTGTCCTGGGAGCTTAGCATAGGGGAATTTGTCCTAGTCGTGGGATCATGTAACTGGAGTGAGAGCGCACAGGTTCCTGGGTAGGCATGTATGTCGGGGGAGGGAGGGCAGAATGTGTGCATTAATTTTCAAGGAGAGAAAATAAGGTGTGCAAAATCTGTGAGGTGTTGAGGGATCTCGTTTATTCATAGGAGTGAAAGGAGACCAGCGTGGCTGAAGTGAGAGGATGACAAGGGAGAGTGGTGCATGGAGCGGGCAGGGCTGCAGCAGGGCCAGGAGTCATCCCCTATGTTTATCATAGACCAATGCAGAGCACTAAAGCGGGGGTTTAGGTAGGGCTCAGCCACGATCTGTTTTCTATTTTAAAAGGTTTCTTTTGTGCCAGGCATGGTAGCTCATACCTATAGCCCAGCATCTCGGGAAGCTGAGGCAGGAGGATCACTTGAGGCCGGGAGTTCCAGGCTAGCCTGGGCAACATAGCAAGACCTACAAAAAATAAAAAATGAGTGGGCATCGTAGTGCACACTTGTACCTTATCTCAGCAACTTGGGAGGCTGAGGTGGGAGGATCGCTTGAGCCCTCGAGTTTGAGGCTACAGTGAGCTATGATTGTAGTACTCTACTGCAGCCTGACTGACAGTGAGACCCTGTCTCCAAAACAAACAAAGGGTTTACTCTGGACACGTGCATAATGAATTGGAAGGGAGGAAGTGTGGAAGCTGGGAAAACAGCAAGAAGTGTTTTGTGTTTGTCCAGGACAAAGAACAATGGCAGCCTGGACTAGGATGGTGGTGGTGGAGAAGGTAGGATAATGCTTGGGTAGAGATTGTTTTGGAGGCCATTGGCATCTAGGTGGTGACTGCTCCGATATGCTCACTGAGCAATCTGCCGTTAATTTGCCCTAATCTTTGCCTGCCTGTGAGGTGCCTATGCCTAGGATTTATTGGCTTCCAAACTGGATGGAGCAAGTGTCCAGGATATCTGACAGTTGCATTTTTCATTATAAGTGAATACTTCACCATTTGGGCTTTATCAGTCTCTTAAGAGCTTTGTTAGCATGAATCGGTATTGATCAACGTGATCATCTCTGGTACCTTAGAGACAGAGACATTTGGAGCCAGAGATTTCAGGGACAGAACCTGGACACTCATGAGTTCCCAAAGGTAAATGTCACCTGCCAGAGATTATGAACAATTACCTTTTCTGGGGAATAACCTCTTTTTTTGACACATGCTTTCCATTATTTTTTAAAAATTTTAAGTAAATCTTTAAAACCAAATCCACCAATTGTTTCTATCTTTAGAACAGCAATTATTTCATGTAGTGAGGAAATATAGTGACCACCTGAAAAAGAACTTGAAGGAGTGTGGTTTGAAAAGGCGTATCAAATGTAGAAGGATTCAGAGTCTTATTCTAAGTTGTTTCCCTGTGCATCTAACTTTTTATTGTGTCACCTTAATTTCTTTTGAAGCCACAAGTGATTTGTTTTTCAAATCTCTTATTATCTGTGTATGTAGTAATTATGTTTTCTTAAGATTCTATTAAGGAACTCAGTAAAATTAGGCAGCTGAAATAATTGGCTAAAGTTCAATGAAGCCTTTTTGGCACTCTGAGTCTGGAAAATAGCAAATAATAATGTAAAACATTTTGTGTGCATTTGTACCTATTCTCTAACGATATTCTCCTCCTATTTTGCAGGAGGAAAATGGAAGAAGCAGTGATACTTTTAGTGAAACAGAATAAACCACTGAACAGGTAACTGAGATGAGTAGTTGTATATACATTTATTAAATAAGTTAATATTTGGAAATGCCTAGAATAGTACATGGCACATAGTAAACAGTATGTAGGTGTTTGCTGTTACTAAGTTCTTTTAAATGTACGTAAGCCCTAAATAAACCAGTTATACAAACCAAAAATACCTAACAAAAGCAAACTCTCCTCCTAAAGCAAGTGTGAACATCATTGGTAAGTTCTGACATGGCCTCTGTAAAGCCTGTTGTCGTGGCTCTGAGAAATGTACCTTAAAACCAACCTCTTTGAAACGTCTTCATCTTTGAGCACCCTGTGTCCTTGAGCACCCATTCATTTTTGTCTTTGACCTTCCAAGTGTCAGATTGGTTTCCAGTTTGAAACCGAACAAACTTCTTTAAAATTCTTGAGGACGTAGTTCCCGGGGAGCATAGCGTAGCTTCCAGGTGGCTACTGAAATGGCTGACAGTTACTAAAGATGGTGAGGATGGAGTTAAAAGCAGCAGCACTCCCATTTTCTGATGATGGCAGGTGATATCGTTGGAATAAGCAGCTCCAAACTATCATGCCTGCTTAGGCACTAACTTCCTGTAATTGTAATCAAACAGTTGGCATTGCTGAGACCTACTGACACCTTCAGCAAACGTTAATAAGGGGCATATTACGTGTCCAGTCCTCTACTTGGGGATGGGATTTGATGTTCAATGGATTATCTTTCTGCTCACTCCACTCCCATCTCTCTGGATCTTCACCAGTTCCTGCCCAGATAGATGCTGTAGGTCCTGCCATCTGCCTCGTCCCCAGCCTTGCTGTCTCTCCTGCCAGCTCCCCTTCAGCCCCTTTATTCAGGGTGTCATACCTTTATTCAGGGTGGGAAAAGATGCCAGAGATGGGGCTGAGAGTCGCATCTGGTAGTTAGACTTTTCTCTCATGGCATTCATGTTGCATCTTCCTCAGCCCTGACTTCTGCTTCATAATTTACATAATTAATTTTAACGATGATGTATGTTTTACCATGTCTCCCTTCGGGAATTTTGGGATATTACCTTTGACAGTTACGTTTCTGTTTTGGAGGTCTTGCAGCTGGCATTATTAGCATGAGGGAGAGGTGGGGCACTAGGGGTGCACTGAATATCTCCATGGCTTTCAGACCTTTTTAATTGAACCCCCAGGAGGAAATACCTGATACCTTAGGGCCCAGCACACATATTTGTACATGTGGGTATATGGTTTCCTGAAGTAAGACCTTTACTATGTGCAAGCTGGGATAGAATTTTTTATATTCTATCACTTTTCTTTTTGCTTTTTCTCTCTTTTAAATGTTCATCATAATCAGCAAAGTGGATTTCTTAACCTGCTAGTCAGTTGTCCTTTGACAAACTTGCAGTATTTCTGCACTATGGTAGGGATGCATGGTTTCTTGCTCTTCTCCCGATATTCTTCTCCAACTTGTCCAGCTTTTTTTTTTTACCCCTGAAAATGCCTCGAACCTGCTTTAACTTTATTCTTCATGTGCCAAGCTCTCTCCTTCCTTTTGGAATAAGCTTCTGTTTCTATTTTCTCACCTACTGTTCCCTCAACTTCCTGTCTGAACTTGAACATTCTTCTCCTGATCAAAACCTAAGAATCCTTTTATTTACCATTTTGAATAAGATCAGTCCTTCTGTGCTGTTAGATACCTGGTTCTCTCTCGGTTGGTGCTATGGGTTGTAGAGAGACATCTGCTGGCCTAAGTGTAGTATTGCATTGTTTTTCTGTGCTGGAGTTCATCACCCTGCCATTTTTTAGTACCTTAAACTTTTAGCGTTGCAGTACACAGTGCAGTGTACACAGTGCAGTGCAGGTGAGCTTGTGTGCTGGAATGTGTCGAAGTCATCTACCTAATCTCTTCAAACATTTTTAGCATTTAGCTCAACATCTAATTAACTGAAATGTAGTCACACATTATAACCCAGTTTAAGGAGCTGCAATCTAGTAGGAGAAAAGGATTTCATGGTAAAACCTGAGTCCTCACCTTCACGTATTTTCTAATGAGACTGCAAAATGACAGTTAAGTAGAGGTTTGGATCCATTTAAAACTTTTGGAAATAATTCACTCTTCCAAGATAAATGAGAACCTATTTTTTTTATTTGTATAAATTAAAAAGTACAAGTGCAGTTTTGCTACATGGATATACTGTGTAGTAGTGAAGTCTGAGCTTTTAATGTAACCATCACCTGAATAGTGTACATTGTACCCATTAAGTAATTTCTCATGCCAACCCCCTCCCACTCTCTCACCCTTCCAAGTCTCCAGTGACTGTTATTCCACACTGTTATGTCCACATGCACACATATTTAGCTCCACTTATCATTGAGAACATGTAGTATTTGACTTCTTACTTCTGAATTTTTTTTTTTTTTTTTTTTTTTTTGCTTAAAATAATGACCTCTAGTTCCATCCATGTTGCTGTAGAAGACATTATTTCATTTTTTATGGCTGGGTAGTATTCCATTATATATATGACCACATTTTTTTCATTTAGTCATCAGTGGATGGACACTTACATTGGTTCCATAACTTTGCTATAGTGAATAGTGCTGTGATAAACATATGACTACAGGTATCTTTTTATATAATGATTTAATTTTGGGGTGGTGTATACCCAGTAGTGGGATGGCTATATCAAATGGTAGAAGAACTTAATTTTTAACTGGTATAGGTTTGCAGCTTAGTTTCTTCTATGAGAGGTATGATTGGTGCTAGCTATAAAGCTAGTGCTGGAAAAATACAAAATTTAAAATCTATTGCTTCTTTACCTTGAAACTCTAGTTAGATTATCACAGTGATTCTGTACTATCCTTGTCTTAGCAAACTTCTCACTGATTTCAGATGCAAGTTTATAAAGGAACTGCAATTATGTACATACACCTAAGATTTCTCCATAAATATGACACATTTTACAGATTATAATGTGCAAAAATGTTCTTTTAAACAAAACTGAACCAATATGCACCTATCTTTGAGGGCTATTTCTAAAGCTAATATGCAGTACACAAGATACTGTATCCCAGTTTCCTGCTTTGAAAAGATCTCACTGGAGTAGTTGGTAGTTGTAGATGTTTCTAAATGTTTTGTTATTGAAGCCAAGCTGAAGCTGCTCCTTTGATTCTTTGACTATGTCCTGATTTCAGTTATGATTAATGAAGCCTTTCTATATCCTTGAAAATAGCAGATTCACCAAAAATTTAGCCGAATATTAGTATTATAGATTAACATATTCCTTTATTTTACAATTACTTTTAATTATTTACACTTTTATTTTATTTTATTTTTTATTTTTTTTGAGATGGAGTCTCGCTCTGTCACCCAGGCTGGAGTGCAGTGGCGTGGTCTCAGCTCACTGCCAGCTCCGCCTCCTAGGTTCATGCCATTCTCCTGCCTCAGCCTCGCGAGTAGCTGGGACTACAGGCGCCCGCCACCTTGCCCGGCTAACTTTTTTGTATTTTTGATACAGATGGGGTTTCACCGTGTTAGCCAGGATGGTCTCTATCTCCTGACCTCGTGATCCACCCGCCTCGGCCTCCCAAAGTGCTGGGATTACAGGCATGAGCCATTTACAATTATTTGTAAAGCACATAGCACAATTTGGATTACTTTGTTCTGTAGTATCTAGAGTTTGAAAGGATTGTGAGAAGATAATAAAGCAGACTTGAAGGCTGGTGGATGCCGCAGTGGATCTGTCAGAATTATTTGAGAAAGTCAGTCTCTAGGATTTCATTTTGATTTCTCTTTTTTAGTTTTCTAAGATTATTTTTAATGATTCATAATGTGTTTTTTTCATTAAATAGAACCCATACAATAATAAAAATTTTCTGTTTTATTCTTAGCCTTACATTAGAGGACACGAATCCTGCTTTGGACATCTGTTCCTCAAATACGTTCATTCTTCTTTGACTTACCATTTACCTTGAAGAATAATTAAACTAGTCCAGTATTCTTTTTTTTTTTTTTTTTGAGATGGAGTCTCGTATTGTTGCCTGGGCTGGAGTGCAATGGTGCAATCTTGGCTCACTGCAACCTTCACTTCCCGGGTTCAAGCAATTCTCCTGCCTCAGCCTCCCGAGTAGCTGGCATTACAGGCACCTGCCACCACGCCTGGCTAATTTTTTGTATTTTTAGTAGAGACAGGGTTTCACCATCTTGACCAGGCTGGTCTCGAACTCCCGACCTCGTGATCCGCCCACCTCAGCTTCCAAAGTGCTGGGATTACACATGTGAGCCACCGCACCTGGCCAACCAGTCCAGTATTCTACAGTCTTGTGCATTTATAGCATTTGGGTTAGGAAACAATTGGTGCATCATCTCTTCCTAGAAAAGGGTCTAGAAAGGCCCGAGGTGATGCAGTAGTACTTTCCTGGCAGTCACATCATTTAGAAGCAGCTGAAAGCCAATCCTAGGAAAATGCCTGAGGGGTTAGACCAGTAGGTCATCTAGAGCCCTCTATAAATTGAGGAAAAACAAAAAAGAGAATAATCATAGAGAGCTAATGAAAAATCCTGTCTTGGAAAAACTAAATAAGCAGCTCCTGTATAAGGGCCACAAAGACATACTCTTTCTGCCTTTCCCAAGGTAACAACGTGCTATAGCCTGACGTCACCAGTGTCCTGAAACTGCTCCAACGTTGATCTCGCATTTGCTATTGAACTGAATTCTTTTCATTCTCTTTCCTTTTGCCTTTTGAAACACCCTACGACTTGTTCTCATGCCTCTCTGATTATTTCTTCCACCTAATTTTATAAGCTACACTAAAACTTGGGTTAGCAATGGGTATTTTTTTCCCCTATTGCATTCTTGGTTCATGAGCTCAAAGTATTATCTCAGCAGAGGCAGAGTCAGGTGCTTGGGAAGTGGTATTAAAGAGATTTCAATTAAATACTTCAAAGCCACTTCATTGGAATCCCCAATTTAAAAAAAGTTAAGATATCATAAAACGAGTCTTTAACTAGATTTTGGTGGTTGT